CTCATCCAAGGTCACGGGCACTGACTGCGACCTCACCCTCTCCTCCAGGCCGGCACCTTTCTGCGGGGAACAAGCACCTCATTGAGCCGGCGGTGCCAGGGCCGCAGGAAGGCTCCGACCCAGGTCTGGGCCAGCCTCCAGCCACAGGCACGCCCCCGGCACAGGCAGTGGGCCTCCCAGCAGCCAGACGCCGGAGCCGGAGTCGAACCCCGTACCCTCCCCAGAGGTGTGCCGCAGGTCCCTGCCCCGGCTGGGCTGTGGGTCGGGCCTGCAACTGTGAGCTGAGGTTCCAGCCAGGAGCGAAGGCGCCAGCTCTCCCAGTGTGGGCTGCAGACCCCGAGCACAGACCGACCCCCCTGCCCGCTGCAAGGCTGCCTGCCGAGTCCCCTCCCCCGGCCAATGGGCTGTGGCCCCGCCTCAGGGAGAATCCTCAGGCCTGGGCTGCAATGTCAGGGCTCCCCAGCCGTGGGCCCCAGCACGGCCCCGCCATGGCAGGTGTCCCATGGTGAGGCTTTCCTTCCCCCCCGAGGTGTGTGACTGACGGGCAGCTGCAGGCTGCACCCACCTGGCCTGGGTGCTCTGCTGGGGTCCCGCCCCCAGAGAGATGCTCCTTGGTCCAGGCCTGCGGACTCTCCCCAGGAAGGTTCAGAGCAAGGGTAGCCAGCGTCCGTGGGAGACATGGCCCCTCACTCACCGCCGAGGCGTCGAGGCTGCACCTGGGGGAGAAGGGAGGGGTTCAGGGGTCAGCAGGGCTTCTCCACCGGCACCATCCGCTCAGCTCCAGCATCTGGTGGGGGTGGGGGTGGGGGGAGGACCTGAGGATGGCACTCTGGCCATGGAGCGGGGCCCAGATCTCCCTGTATCAGGGGGAGCCGGGAGGAGCCAGGCTGGTGGATTTGCTGAAGCTACATGGGCGTCATGGACCCCCCATTCTTACAGGGACTGGCTTTCTGGTTGGGGTGAGAGGGTTGCGGGGTTGGGTGAGTGGTGGCTAAATCACCCGCCTCCACTCTTTAGGGCTGCCACTGTGGTGTGTGTGAAGTAGAGCATTCATATGTGTCTTTTTAAAAATATATATATATTTTTATTGATTTTAGAGAGGAAGGGAGAGGGAGAGAGAGAAACATCAGTGATGTGAGAGAGTCATTGATCGGCTGCCTCCTGCAACCCCTTCCCCCTTCACTGGGGATCAAGTCCACAACCCGGTCATGTGCCCTTGACTGGAATAGAACCCGGGACTCTTCAGTCTGCAGGCCGATGCTCTATCCACTGAGCCAAACCAGCCAGGGCAATATGTGTCGTGATTCCAAGGACATCTGTGGCTTTGTGCATGTAGACCAATAGATGTGGGTCAGAGCGTGTGCATGTGCCAGCCTGTGCGTGACCGTGGGCAGCGGTACACCGGGTGTGTGTGGGCAAGCGTGCACACCTGGGCTCGCACCTGCCTGCGGTGTGTGCACAGTGTCGTTTGGGGCTTGCACACACTCATGTTCTCCCGTGCACGTGGATGTGTGTGTGGGCATGCACGTGTGTCCTGGAAGGGGGCTGCCTCTGCCGGTGCGAACACCCCTGATCCCAGAGGGTCACGGAAGGCTCCGTGGCGGGGACCAACCTCTGCCAGCTGTCCGAGCAGCTGCGGGGCCTTGCCCAGCTGCACCTCCGCGGCCGGCCCCGGGGGCCCGCGGAACCGGAGGGGGCTGACCCGCTTCCTGCTGCTCCGCTGGGCGGGTCCCTGGCCCTGGCCACTCCCGTCTGGCCGTGGGCAGGGGCCTCGAGGCCCAGGTCCTGGAGATACTGGCTGCCCTGAAGGGCCCCCCAGTCCAGGCTGAGGTCCTCTGTGCCGTCCCTGAGCGGCCCAGGAACGGCGTCCTCCTGCAGGGGGTGGAAGAAAGCACATTGGCGGAGGCAGCAGAGGCCCCAGGCCCAGCCTGCCCGTATCCCTCTGCCCCCCTGAGCTCAGCGCCTTCTCAGGGGGTGGGCGCGGATGGAGGGCAGTCCCACAGGCCCCTGTCTCACCCGGGCCTTCGAGGCCTTATTCCCCCAAAGGGCTTCCGCCTCCTCTGAGTGTCCGACGGACCCATGGTCCTCAGTAGCCCTGCCCTGCTGCTCGCCCTGCTCCTTTAAGACTCAGGGGAGATCAGGGTGCAATGCAAGCTGGCGAGCGCCCACCGCACAGAGGAGCGCGGTCCTTGCTGCCCTGCGTGCAGGCTCCTGGTCACAGGGCTGCTTGGGGCTCATGCTTCTTCTGGCCCTAAGTCTCCACACCACGCTGGGACTAGGGTGTGGCATCTGCCCAAGGCACAGAGCTGAAGGGGGGGACCCAAAACTCAGGAATCAAGATAACGTCTTTATGTAATTTTTAAAGCAACTCAAAAGCCATGCAAGGAGATTCGTGATGATCACATTCTCAGCATTTAAGGAATTGCAGTGCTAGACCCTGCACCCTCCTCGCTCAGCTCCCCCACCTCTGCCCCCGCCTACCAGAGAGGACTCGGGAACATCTCCTTCCACTGCCTTTCCCTCCCACCTCCCCGGCTGCTCCTCACACCACAGCTCCACCGCACAGTACGAAAGGCTCCGGGGTCGGCTGCCCCTGCTTCTGGCCTCAGGTTCCCTCCCATCCAGGAGGCAGAACATGCCAGGCAGGGTTAGACACCAGCTGCGCAGATGTGTCTCCCACAGCAGCTCCACCAGGGGGCAGTATTTTCCGGATCGGGAGACAAGGGGGCAGGGAGGAGAAAGGACTAACCCAGAGCCACGCAGTCCGTAAACAGCAGAGCGAAGCTCAAACTCTGGTCTGTCTGGACCCAAGCTCTGTGTTCTTTCTTTACTCTGATCTCTGCTCCTTTCCCCCTGCTTCCTTTGCCCTTCTCTCTCTTCCTTCCAGTCATTCTGTTTGTTAATTTTGCAACACCTGCCTTTTCTTCTTCTTGGAGACCCTTTTCTCCCAGCCCACTTAGAGTCAGCCTGGTGAACTCCTATTCATCCTTCAAAACCCAACTTTGGCATGCCCTCCAGGCTCTTGTCCCAACCCCTTGAGGTTAGGCCAGGTGTCCCTCTGTCCCTTTCCAGGCCTTTGTTAGGACCGTCTCCAGGTGGGTAAGCGGTGGGTGGGCCTCTCCTGCCCCAGGCATCATGTGATCTCAGGAAGCCCTCAATGGACTGTCCCAGCTGGTGGCCTGAGGGTGTCCCCAGCATGAATTCTGCAAGAGGGCCCTTGGAGAGGATTACTGGATAAAATACAGGACTCCTGGTTAAACTGAATTTTACATAAACAACAAGTAAGTTTTCTAGTATAGGTATATCACAAATGTGGCAATGTTTGACATTTAAATCCAGCTGGGAGTCCTATCATTTTATTTGTGCAACCTTGCAACCCTACCCCCGGACCATGTGACACGGCCTGTCTTTTTACCAGGTGAGGGAGAAGGGAGGGATTCCGGCGAAGACTTGGGGTGGGGACGTTTCCAGTTCCAAGTGGAAAAATACCCGCTAACGGGAAGCCAGGCTCCGGGTCAGCGGGGTCTTGGCTGGCAGGAGGCAGCGGGAGGCCGCACGTGCCTCGGAGTAAGGGAGAGCGTGCGGCCCGGCCTGCTCTCCTGACCTCACCCACTTGGCGCGCTCTGCGTTCTGACCTCTCCCTCGTCATTCTTGGGATTGTGGCAAAATATGCATGAGAAAGTGGACCAGTTCCTGCCATTTGTACGTGTGCAGTTCCGTGGCGTTCAGTGCACTCACTCATGTCACCGCCATCCAGCTCCAGAGCTTGCCATCCTCCCAAATAGACACTCTGTCTCCGTCCAACACTCACTCCCCTTCCCGCCTTCCCTCCTGCGCCCTCCCGCCCCCTCCCGGCCCCTGGGGGACCGTTACTCCACGTCTCTGTGGAGGGGACGCCTCCAGGGACCTCCTCCCAGGAAAACCACAGGGTATTTATCACTTTGTGTCTGATTTATGTCATTTGGCCTGATGTTGTCAAGGTGTATCTATTCTCGCAAGTGCCGGGATTCCATTCCTTTTTAAGGCCGGATAACAGTCCGCCTGTGGGTGGGCTGCACAGTGTGTGTAGACAGAGCACGTGGTGTGCATGCGTCATCTGCTGGGGGCACTGGGCTGTCTCCACGTGCTGGCTGTTGTGGGCAACACTGCTTTGGATATGGGGGTGCTGATACGTGTGAGTCCCTGCTTCCAGGATTTGGGGGCAGATATTCAGAAGGGGAATGGCTGGAGCGCATGGTTAGTGCATTTTTGATTTTTCAAGGACCTGCCACACTGTTTTCCAGGACTCCTTTCTTCCGGAATCTTTCCTTTGTGCCCAGGTCTGCTTCCCTCCCACCTCCCCGGCTGCTCCTTCTCTGCTTCCCCTTCTGCCCTCTGTGCTCAGCACACCAGGGCCCCTTCCTCAGTCTCTGTCAAAACGCCTGGCCTCCTGGGAGAGACCTTGGCAGCAGCCTCCTGTCAGATCTCCAGTCCCACCCCGGGTGCCTGCACAGCCTCTAGCGACCTCCTTTCTCCCGGCCACTGCCGCGAACATTTCCTTGTGGTTCTGGCTTCCATCCTCCTATACATATAAACACGTCAGGACAGCCTCTGGGCCTGGGCCGGGACCCTCTCCCTCTCTCGCATCTGGTGTCCCTCACGGGAGGCAGCCGTGGGCACCTGGCCAAAGCCGGGTGGCAGGCAGAGGGCACAGGATGCCCGCTCCGTGCAGCTGGCACACTGCTGGAGGAACTGGCAGGCTTCACTGGGGGCCACACCTTCCCTCCAGCATCTCCTGGTGAGAGAACGTGTGACCGGCCAGAGGGGGCCTCTCCGGGCCTCTGACTCATCACTGAAACTGGCTCAGGCTCTGCTCTCTGGGCCATGGAGGGAGAACCTTGGGGAATGGGTTCCCCATGCAGACCCAGAGGCCAGACAGCCCGGAATCCCCCTCTGCAGATGGGCTCACTGCTCAGGTTTAAATACCACACACAAAGCAACTTCATACATACTGTTTCCCTTGTACTATCTCACCATGGCCAAAGGGAACCGGTTTTAAATAAAATAGCAGATAAATACCAGGAGGGATGGTTCTCGAATGGCAGCCTGGTAGAAAATCCTTACTCAAGGTCTGCAGTCCTGTTATGGCTTTATTAGCCAGCTCAGTGTCCCCACGGCCAAGTTCCTGTGGGCCTCAGTTTTCTCATCTCTAAAATGGGCTGATGGCTCTGCAGGTAACATGAGACAAGGTTTGCACATTGCTCAACTGGTGGGAGCAGATATCAGGTGGTTACTGTTTTTATGTCCCAAGTTTTCTATTTCAGGAGTCAGGGCCCTTTCTCTGGGCAAGTCACGCAGTCCCTGGCTGCCGGAGCGCACTGGGGAGCATTGGGGATGAAATCCAGCAATTACAATAGGTGATGTTCCAGGAAACCTTTAGACAGCTTCCATAGCCAAAACCAAACCAAAAAACCCCTAGTTCCTACCACATAAAATAGTCTCCACATGACATAAAAATTATTTCTTTAACTGTCCATTTTGGTCAAGTGTCATACATTTTTTTTTTTTACTTACTTTTTTTTTTAATTGACTTTTAGAGAGAGAGAGGAAGGGAGAGAGAGGTGGTGGTGGGGGAACATCAATGTGTGAGAAAGAAACATCAATTGGTTGCCTCCTATGAGCCTACAACCTGGGCTTGTACCCTGACCAGGAATCCAACAGGCGACCCTTTGATACAGGACACAATGCTAACCAACTGAGCCACACCGGCCAGGACCACGTTTCATATATCTTAAAATGATCTACATCTTATCAGTTCATAGAGTTTCAATAAAAAGTCCTACTAAATGTGAAATTGAATCAATCAATAATCAATCAATCAAGGCCAGCTTCCTAAAGGAAGTGACAGCCGTGAAGCCCGAGGAATGGATGGGAGTTGGGCAGGCAGAGGCTATGGGTGCGGGCATTTCAGGCAAGAAAACCCAGCAGCACGCTCAGAAGCCCACAGCCTGAGAGCTCACAGCTCCAGAATCGGGCAGGAGAGTTCCTGGTGGCTGGAGGTGTGGAGGGAGGGGCTGGGGCTGGACCAGGAGGCCTGGTGGGCCAACTACGGATTTAATCTTCAGGTCCAAACAGTAGTGGCAGGGAGTTAGGGGCTGTGATTTGCCTTTGGAAAGATTATGCAAGACGCAGAGCCAAGATGGGCTTGGTGGTGGGTGGAGGAGGGCAAGACGGGAGCTGGTGGAGCAGGGAGGACACCTCTGAGAGTGGTTATGGCGGCCTCTGCCAGGGGCCTGGAGAAGGAGGGAGAGATGTGGACGGAACTGAGGCTGTGCAGGGCGGCATTTATAGGGCTGGCCGGAATGGGAAGGAGGGGCAAGGACCATGGCTCCCCTTGCCTCCAGGTGACTGAGCGCCAGTGCTGAGACACGGAGGTGTTGGGTTCAGAGCCCCCCTGCATTGCTGAGTCTCACTGCTCCCCCAGGCAGTTTCTCCCTCACCGTCTGGTTGGCCTGTTTGTCTGCAGCCCAGGGCTCCTACTCAAGAGGAGTCCAGAACCCTGGAAGGAGCTGTAACTCAATTTGCATCTCTGTCCTACTTTTGTTTATCTTGGATCAGCCCTGACACTTGAGCCAATTAGTTCCCTGCTTGGCTCTAGTGTTCTCTCACATAAAACCAGAGGCCTGGTGCATGAATTCATCCGGCCTGCCTGGATGGGAGCTGATGGGGCCTGGCTAGTGGAGGGAGGGGACATGAGAGATTGGCCGGCTGGCCTTTCCCTCCATCAGGGTGGGGGAGATTGATTGGGGGCCAGGCTGGGCTGGGGAGGGGCTGTGAGAGGTTTTTTGGGGGGCCAATTGGGGCTGGTTGGTCACTATAGTGTGTGTCATTACCACTGGTCATGCCGATCTGTTCTGGTGTTCTGGTCACTTGGCTTTTATATATATATAGACTAGAGACCCAGTGCATGAAATTTGTGCATGGGTAGGGTCCCTAGTGGCTGCTGGGGTGGGCCATTCGGGGGGAGGGGCCGCAGGCAGGTGGCTGGCCAGTCCCTGGTGGAACTCCTGGTTGAACTCCTGGTTGAGGAGACAATTTGACTTTAGGCTTTTCTTATACAGGACGACAGAGGTGGATACACAGAACGCCCTTCCTTAGAGTGGTGGGCAGTGTAAATGCCACGCAGACCCCTTCAGTGAGGACCTGCTGCCCAGATGTTGTGGGGACTGTCAGCAGATGGTTGCCGCTGTCAGCCCCCTCTGGGAAACCACACCCTTCCCTGAGTCGCCCACCGGCTACCACTGACTGATGTGTGACTATGACTTGGCCATCTCAGCCTGGCTTTGGACCACTCTGCAGGTGGCTCTCGCTCAGAGCACCCATGTGAGCTTTTTCTTCCCTTTACATCCATCGTCTGCATACCCACTCACTCATCCACTCACCTTCCATCCATCCTTTCATCCATTGTCTATCTGTCCTTACTCCCTTCCTTCCTTCCTTCCTTCCTTCCTTCCTTCCTTCCTTCCTTCCTTCCTTCCTTCCTTCCTTTCTTCCTTCCTTCCTTCCTTCCATACACTGTCCAGCTGTCCATGCACCCATTCATCTCTCTGCCCACCTTTCCTCCCTCCCACCCTTCCCTCTCCCTTCTTGTTCCAGAAATGATTCCAGTTTCCCCGTCTGTAACATGGGATAACCACTAATTTGCCAAGTTATAATGAGGTTCCCTGAGATGGTGCACACCAAGTGCCTGGTGACATGCAGGTGCTAAGTAAAGTGTACTTGCTGGTCCTGGTGCCTTCGCTTCTGCCTGCCTCAGCGTCAGACACCTGCCTGCTTGTCCCCCATGGTGGAGAAGAAGTCCAGGTGCCCAGGCCTCCAGGATCCACGGCTGCTGCTGGTGGTCAAGTCTGCAGCCCCAGTGTCAAAAGACTGGACACATGGCTTGGACTCAGAGCCTGTGGAGAAAGGCGGGACAAGGTGTCAGGCTGAGCTGGAAGGTGTGAGGAGCCCTGAGTTCTGCTTCTGGCATGGCTCTCCACAGGCTTCAGTTTTCTTATCTCTAAAATGGGATGATGGTTTTGAGAAGGAGGAGAGAAAATGGTGGCCCCAATAGGCAGTTGTGTCATGTACCTCATCCTGGGGCCAGACTAGAAACACAACTAAATCGGAGAACATCAACCTGGAATTAAAACCCAATTGACATCACTGGATAAATCTTCTAGTCAAAAAACAAAAACAAAAAACAAAACAGCAAAGAAACAGCAATCCAAAATGACTCACTAATCAGATGGAACTAATTGACATCTTCAGAACTTTTCATCCCAAAGCTACGGAATATACATTCTTCTCAAGTGCACATGGGACATTTTCAAAAATAGACCACATATTGGGACACAGGCTAAGTCTGTACAAATTCACGAAGATTGAAATCATATCAAGCATCTTTTCAGATCACAATGACATTCAATTAGAAATAAACTCCAACAAAAACAATAAAAAACAAACATGTGGAGGCTAAATAGCATGCTATTAAACAATGAATGGGTTACCAAAGAGATCAAAGCAGAAATTAAAAACACCCTTGAAACAAATGACAATGAAAACACAACAATTCAAAATCTATGGGACACGGTGATAGCAGTCCTGAGAAGGAACTGGTCTACCTCAAAAAACATTACAGGTCTACCCCAAAACAAGAAAAACTGGTAATAAATTATCTAACCATACAACTTAAAGAACTAGAAAGAGAGCAGCAAGAAAAGCCCAGAAAAGTACAAGAAAGGAAATAATAAAGACCAGGCAGGAAATAAATGACATAGAGACAAAAAAAATAATCCTTTGAAAGGATAAATAAGATTGTTGAACCTCTAGCCAGACTCACCAGGAAACAAAGAGAGAGGACCCCGCAGGGAGCGGGCCTAAGCTGGCAGGTGAACATCCCCTGAAGGGTTCCGGTCTGCGAGAGGGTGCAGGCCAGGCTGAGGGATCCCCCATCCCCATGCACGAATGCCATGCACCAGGCCACTAGTTTAAAATAAGATTCTAAGCTAATGTCCCAGTCTCTCTTTTTTTGTGTGTGTGAGTACTCGTTCATTTACTGTAGGGACTTTTTATTTCTGTTTTTAAGATCTCTTCTTATATACACGATTTCATATTGTTAGTCTATTCAGAAAGAAAAAATATGGGAAATAATTATTAAATTCCCCAAATATTCATCCTAGAGAACTGGAGCTACAAAAGTGCCCTTGAATAGGCTGCAGAGACGGCAGCAGCGGGGTAGGTGTGTGTGTGTGGGGGGGCACTCTCTTTGTTGGAAAAAACTGTTACTTTTACACTATAGCCGTTAGAGGCCCAGGAGTCACTGCAGTCCGGGGAACAAACCCCAGGGCCTGCTGTCCCCCCACAGACACACCCACCCCTCTCCAGCCTCCTAGGAGCTGCCAAGGTCATGTTATCTCTGTTATGCTTCTTAAAAATATAAGTATATTTTCCATTGGAAACATAAGCCTATTTCTAAAATTAAGGGGGGAAAAAAGGTTTTTACTGTATTTGCCTAAGAAGCAAAGATTTTATGTATAATACACACTAGAGGCCCAGTGTGCGAAATCGCATGAGGCGCCCGCCTCCCACTGTGCCCCAAGAACTTCTGTTCTGGGCTGGGGCGAGGGGGGGAGTAGGGACCGAGAGGTGCTCCATGCACCTCCTGGTGACTACAGCGTTATGACCACTGGCCTTTTACAATATAGATTATTAAAATAATTATGTTATGTTTTTTTAATTTTTTAAAACATTTTTAAATTAAATTATTATCTGTGTACATATTTTAACATTGCCCCCCCCCATACATACCCTCCCTCCCCAGAGTTTTGTGTCCATTGGTTGTACTTATATGCATGTATACAAGTCCTTTGTTGATCTATAAAATAATTATGTTATGTTAATAAAAAACTTAATTACTTTAAAAATTACTTAATACTGTTTAATAATAATAATATATAATATATTTCATTGCCTTCCCCTTATCTTTTATTATTTTATTTTAAAATATATTTTATTGGTATTTTACAGAGAGGAACAGAGTTAGAAACATCAATGAGAGAAAAACATTGATCAGCTGCTTCCTGCACACACCCCCCACAGGGGATGTGCCCACAACCAAGTACATGTGCTTGACTGGAATCGAACCTGGGACCCTTCAGTCCACAGGCCGATGCTCTACCCACTGAACCAAACCAGTTAGGGCCCTTCCCAGGATTTAAATTTTAAAATTTAATTTCTCTCCTCATCAGGGAAATTTTATACTTCAGGTATCTGTCAAATAATAAAATATATAATTCTATTCTATTTATATGTACTTATTAAATAAATTCTAATATACTTTCATTTATAACTAATTGATATCAGTTATAATATTGTAGAATATTATATTTTGTAGAGAGGACAAGATTCCATGCCATTTACATGACTTTATAAAGTACCTAAATTTATAAAAATACTAACAGAAAAAATCAGAAGGAACAACAATTCTATTGTAAAACTGAATAAAAAAAATGATTGTATAGTTTTTGTAACTTTTTCTGAAAGTATTACTAATTCTTAAACTTTTTGTTTTTCAGATATAAGGGCGCATTTTAAAGCAATTTGGTAAATTAGATGTTTCTCTCAGCAGGCAGTCTGGCCTGCGGGAACCTGACCAATGCTACTGTGCCTCCCCTCCCTCCGTGTAAGCAAAAGAAGCGCCGGGACCTCTGCTGAGGCATTCCATGGGGAAGTCTGTTGAGGAAATCATGCCCATTTGACGGTCTTAGGGGACCAACAGGTTATAGATTGGAGCCCACATGGTCATTTGCAAGCCAACCTCATTGACATTCTGGTATGCATATGTCTGATGCTAGTTATTTCGGCTATGCAGGCATGCCTGAGGTTTGGACTGAGGGAGGGATGAGTTCCCCACGGAGTACTAGGCTGGCCAGTTCAGGAAACTGTGGAGATTAGACCGTGTTTTCAGCCTTTGAAACTGTGGCACAGTGACTGTCAGAACCCCTCTGGCCACTAGAGTTTAACTTTTGCTCATTATCTTACTGACAATAGCCTGGTTCGCAGCACTCACCCCTTTGTCTTTGTTATGGGCCGATCTACTAATAAGCCACAGTTCATCTTTTCTAGTCCAGGCTGGAGAAGGAGCTTTTTTTGCGTTCTGTACTACCACCCAGAATATTACCTCATTGACCATCAGCACTATTGTGGTACTTAGGAGACAAGCAGAAATCTGATACCTGTCAATCTCACCAGGAAATGGCAAGGCTTATCAGCTATCGAAGTCATAGAAAGAGCATTGAGCCAATTACAGCCAACAGATCTTTGGGAATGCTCACTGCAGCCATTATCTAGGCTGTTGTTATTCCTTTGATTTTTAGAGAGAGTGGAAGGGAGGGAGAGAGACAAACATGGATGTGAGAGAGGCACATCTATTGATTTCCTCCCGCATGCACCCCTTGATCAGAATTGAACTCAGGACACTTCAGCCCACAGACCAACACTACCCAAATCAGCTAGTGTATTAGTCAACTCCTATTGCCTGGGCTAGTGATAAGGCCTTCACACAATTGCATTCTCATATTCTCAAAGCAACCCTTTGAGTCCCTACTATACAGAAGGGGAAACTGAGGCTCAGAGAGATGTACTGATTTTTTCAAGGTCACACCAGAGCTGGATGTAAACCTAGGTTTTTCCAACTCAAAGCAAAGAACTTATAAGCAACAGGTCATTCTGTGGTGAGCTTATGAGTGAATGGATGGGTGGTTGGATGGGTAAATGGATTGTTGGATGGATGGATGGATGGATGGATAGTTGCTAGCTGGTTGGATGGTTAGATGAATAGATAGTTGGCTGGCTAGTTGGTTGGAAAAATGAATGGGTGAATGAGTGGATGGATGGTTAGATGGATGGATGCTCAGGTGGATGTATGTATGTATGTATGTATGTATGTTAGATGAATGGATAGTTAGGTAGATGATGTTTAGATGGGTAGACAGATGAATGGATGGACAGTTAGGTGACGGATAAAGGACAGTTGGCTGGTTGAATGGAAGATGGTTAAATGGATAGATGGTGAGATGGGCGTATAGATGGACGAGGGATGGATGGGTAGTTGGGAGGAGGGTAGGTGATGTGGCAGGGCCCAGAGGCAGTGAGGAATTACAGCAGGAGATGGCATTCTTAGGGGATGAGCCGGGGAGAGGTGTAGATGGAATGGAGTCAGAATCATGGCAGAGAGGCCAAGTAAGAAAGAAGCCAAGCTGAGGCACAGGAGGCACTAATTAGGTTTGTACGTACTGTACTTGGGGGAGTGAGTGGGAACGTGTGGCCAGAGAGGTAATGGGGATGACGGCGAAGAAGGGGAGGGCAGCCCCCCTGCAGGAGCCTCCCTGGAGGTCCCCCCCCCCTCGCTTGTCTGCCTCTTCAAATCCAACCCCACCATTTCCCAGGAAGTTCCAGGCAGCTGTTACAGAGCCTAAGAGGGACACAAACAGGCCTTCTCCCTACGCCCTCCAGGGCTAAAGACGAAGGACGCTCGTGGGGAGTCACTCTGCTCCCCTCCTCCCCCGACAAGATCCCCTTGAAGACGCTGCCTGTCAGCCCGGATTCAGGTCCCAGGCAGCCTCTCCTATCAGCAGCCTCTGCAGCAGCCGCCACAAAGTGGTTTAAGAGCCCCCCCCCCCCCCCCCCCCCCCCGGTTCCCACAGCTCACTCTCTCACCTGCTGGCCTACAAACCACAGCCTCAAGCTAGCCGGGCAGGGAGGCTGACGGGGCTGGGTGACCGGGAGCTGGTAGGCCTTTGCCAGGACCTGGGTCACAGGTGGGTGCCCTGCTGATCTGCAGCTGAGGCATTCAATTCTGCAGCATTGCCACCCACCGGTGGATTTAAAAACCCTCCCCAGGCCCTCCAGCTGCCCTCACTGGCAGCTTTGTTCATTGGGTAGGACATACCTCAAAGGTGGCCTTGGGACAGAACCGGTTTTAAATGCCGGTTCCTCTAGCTAGTCCTTGCTGTGAGGCCTTGTGCGAGTCACTCAGCCTCTCTGAGTCTAATTGCATGAGACTTCACAACTGGCAGCAATTCCCGTCATTATGACTGCTCTTCAGTTGTCACCCTCTCTCTCCCCAGCCCCACCCTCAGGTCTCTTGACATCACTGTCTCCTCCAGCGGAGTGCCAAGCGCACAATGGGCTCTCAGCGAGAGTCTACAGGGAAAAGAACTAATGAACCTTCCCATTACCCCCTCCTGAGTGGGCATCCTTTGCCACCTTGAACAAGTCCTCAGCTCTCTCACGTAATGGGGCCAGAATTTGCTGAGGCTGAGCAGGGGGCTGGCCTGCCTCGGGGGCGCTTGTGGGAAGGTAGGGGGAGCCGTGTGTGTGTGTGTGTGTGTGGGGGAAGGGGGGTGTTGCTATCACAGAGTGTCCCACACACCGTGGCCCCGGACACCATCGGCTTATCTTCAACGGCTAACTTCCTCCTGAGATTGAAGAAGTACCTTTTTGCAAAAGCAATACATCCAGGCGGGAGAATATAACACAAGGGCCCCTCTAGCCACCGCAGAGGTAAACTGAGGCCCAGGACGGGGGTGGGTGTCACTGTCCAATGTGTGTGTGTGTGTGTGTGTGTGTGTGTGTGTGTTTTCAAGGGAGGTAGCTACCAGAACCTCTGGGGTCTCAGCCCTGCTCGCTCTCGCTGAGCCTCTGCCCTGCAGCCGCCAGAGCTGGCAGTGTCAGGGCCCAGGAAGCTACGAGGCTGCCCCGAGGAGCTACAAGGTGAAGCCTCTCCTGCACACGCACCTCCTGAGACAAGTCACGCGGAGCCTGGGAAGATGTCTCCTCCCGGACAAGAGGGACCCACAGCCTGGGTGTCCCATGGGGTCCTGGGGACGAGGAGCCGGGGGCTGCCTCAGGCAATCCGTGCCCAGGCCGAGGAGCACTCGTGGTGGGACCCGTCTGCTGGCCGGTGCCCGCTGCTCGCTGCTGCCCACTTACCTCTCTTGAAGGCCCGCCGCTTCAGCCACAGCTTCGGGAAGGCCGGCCAGGAGTGGCTGAGCCCTGGGGCAGCCATGGGCGGGCTTGCGGGAGTGAGTGTGCAGCTGAGATGGAGCAGGAGCTCAGCGGGAGGGGCGGGGACTGCCGCAGAGGCTGCCAGCTGCAGCGCTGCGGGACCTGGGGCTGGGTCTGGCTACCGTCCACCCGACTCCAGCCTGGGGGAGGCCAAGCTCGGCAGCCCCCACCCCCCCAGCCTCTCAGCCTCCTACTGGGCTGGACATGACCTCCCGAGGGGGGCTGGGAGCAGTGGGAGCAGTGGCCGCTCTGGGGTCCTCGGGAAACAAGGCTGGGCTCCTGACGGGAGCCCGGTGCGTGAGTGGGTGAGTCCCACTGTCTGTCTGTGTTGGTGTGCAGAGCGGGCGCTTTCAGGTCTGAGTGTCTGAGTGTCCGTGCGTGTGCTGACACTCAGCACCGCGGTTTCCCGCAGTTGAGAGATGGAATTAGCACACAGTCCAGTGTTATGAAGGAACTGGCACACGGCACTGTGCACGTGTAAGGGGGCAGCAATGGTAGCTCAGGACTCAGTCACCTTTACCTGGGAGTCTGTGCGTGTGGCCCTTTTACCCATTCCCCCGCCCCAGCAACACCAACCTGATGTTTCTTACTGTGGGTTTTTAAAAACTTAGAGTGAGAGAGAGAGAGAGAGAGAGAGAGAGAGTGAGTGTGTATGTGAGTGTATGCGAGAGAGTGTGGTGAGTGTGTGTGTGTGTGTGTGTATGTGAGTGTGTGAGAGTGTGTATGTGCATGTGTGTGTGTAAGTGTGTGTGTGTGGGTGTGTATGTGAGTGTGAGTGTGTGAGAGAGTGTATGTGAATGTGTGAGAGTATGTGAGTGTGTGTTGTGTGTGTGTGAGTGTGTATGTGAGTGTGTGTGTAAGTATGTTTGTGGGTGTGTATGTGAGTGTGAGTGTGTGAGAGAGAGAGAGAGTGTGTGAGTGTGTTGTGTGTGTGTGTGAGTGTGTATGTGAGTGGTTGTGTATGTGAGTGTGAGTGTGTGAGAGTGTGTGTGTGTGAGTGTGTGAGAGTATGTGAGTGTGTGTGTTGTGTGTGTGTATGTGAGTGTGAGTGTGTGTGAGTGTGTGTGAGAGAGAGTGTGTGTGTGTGAGTGTGCATTTGAGTGTGTGTGTGGGTGTGTATGTGAGTGTGAGTGTGTGTGAGAGAAAGAGAGAGAGTGTGTGTGTGTGTGAGTGTGTATGTGAGTGTGTGTGTGGGTGTGTATGTGAGTGTGAGTGTGAGAGAGTGTGTGTGTGTGTGAATGTGTGAGAGTATGTGAGTATGTGTGTTGTGTGTGTGGGTGTGTATGTGAGTGTGAGTGTGTGAGAGAGAGAATGTGTGTGTTGTGTGTGTGTGAGGGCGCGTGCGTGTGTGTGAGGGCCCATCAGTATCTGGGGCGGGGCCTACCTGTGTCCTCTGGGCTGAGGAGAGCTGCTCCGCCCTGTGGGCTCTGGGCCTGCCTGGCTGTGTCTGCGTGCCGCGGTCAGATCTGGTGCCCAGCTATGGCTGTGTGCGCCCGCCGTGGCCGAGTGCTGCCTCCTTTCTCACTCCTCTCTGAGAGGTCCTGGCCGGCTGGCGACTTCTCAGTCTCTCCCCTCTTCCCAGAGAGTCCACACTCCCGTCTGTGCCGCCTCACTGCACAGCCTCTGCAGCCCCTCCCACCCCCTCAGCTTCTAGCTCTCGCTGAGGCCAGGTCCCACAGGCACCGCCCCATCTCTCCTCTGCTGGATCCCCTGAGCACGCCCTTCTAGAAGTTCATTCCTCCTATGATGAACAGGCTGGATGGATGAATGACGAGAGAGTCACAGACGGGCTGCCTCCTGCCCGCCCCCCACCACGGATCAAGCCTGCAACCTGGGCATGCACCCTGATGGGAATTAACCATGACTTCCTGGTTCATGGTTCGAAGATCAACCACTGAACCACACCAGCTGGCCTAAGCTTCCTTTTTTTCCTGACCTTTAAACTCTGTGTTCCCAGGGCTCTGTCCTGGTCACGTCCTGCTCTCCCACGGGCCCTGTGATCCCCCTGCACCCCCCTTATTGCAATCATATGCAGGCGGCCCCCAAATCTTCCAGTCACACAAAGACACAAAAACACACACACTCCATAGATTAACACCCGTGGACAATGGCAGACACACACACATAGACACATACACATAGACACACACACATAATTATACACAGTCGGACACATACATAGAAACCCAGAGAACAGCTCACGGAGATTTAAAAACCACCTCATCTACGGTGCTGCAGGCCTGAATTCCTTATCACCCACCACACACCTTTCCCAACGGCTGCCCGTGCCTCGCGGCCCCTCGGCCCTGGGGGAGGGCAGCTGTGAGGGCGCCAGGAACCCTGGCAGGGAGAAGCCGGGAAAAGCCCCATCGAGCCCCTGGCACACAGGCAGGAGCCCGGAGGCCGAACCAGGGGGATGAGGTGAGAGCACCGGAGGCAGTGGAGGCTTTAGAAAAACCTTACAAATCCAGCAAGGATCCCCACTCCTAACAGTGGCACGCTAGCTTGTTGTAGAAAGGCATAAAACACACGCCATCCACCGACATCCAGCTCCCGTGGAGCAGCTGCAGAAGCGGACAGAATTGGAGGGGAAACCCCGCCCGCAATTGGGAGGCATTGGGGTTGGAGAGGTCAGGGCCCCGGAGGCAGGGAGGCAGACATGATGCAGTGTTTTCCTCACAGGGAGTTTGTTGATGTCAATGCGGTTAGTAAGTGCCTGGGAAACAGACCAGAAAGAGCCCAGGCTGTGGAGCCCACCCTGCGAACTCAGTGAGGACCGTCGTTCCCCCCCCCCCCGGGTGCCCTTTCTCGGGGTGGCCCCGAAGGCTGCTGAGGATGCACACAGGTTGCCTGCAGGGGCTGCGCAGGGAGCAAGGTTGGGGGCAGGGGCAGCGGGAGGGAGCAGGGCCGCCTGACGATGTCCTCTGAGCTCCTGCTGCGTGCGGGCCTGTGCCGTGATCTCACTGCAGGGTCTCTGACGGCGCTTCAGTGGGGACCAAGGGAGGCCAGAGGGGGGAAGTCGCCTGCCCACGGCTGCCCAGAGGCAGGGGGCGGGATGTGAACCATCCTGTCATCTGGGTAGCGATCCTGAGCGCTCAGGGGCCAGCACTCAGGGCTGGGAGTCAGGGTGTGCGAACACGGCCACCACAAGACATACTGGTGGGTCTGCCACCGACATTCCCTGGGCGCCTCAAGGTCTAGCGACAGCCCGCCTCTGTCCAGAAGCCCCCCGAGGGCTCAGGCCCATGGCGGGCAGGGCAGGCCTCCCTGGGTCTGCTTGGTGGTCGAGCTTCTTAGGCTGCGGGAGCCTGGCCAGTGTCCCAGCCGCTCTCACCAGCTCCAGGGCCTCAGCCACCCACTCCAAATGCACCCTTTCCCGGCTGCTCCCGGTCACCTTCCCGACCCCAGAGGCCTGAGGCGGCCTGGTGGCCATGTGGCCTTGGGGGCTGGGAGGAAGCAGAGGCTTGGGTGTGTCCTGAACAAAACCACAGCCTTCCTCCCTGCTGCACCCCACCCCAGGCAGCCGGGGGGCGAGGCTCCCCGCGGGGGGCCGTGGTGGAGCCAGGAGCACCTCCCTGGGGGGAGGGACCTGGAGGACTGCCCGGCGGAGGGTTCTCCTCTTGGGATGCCGGCTTGGGGAGAAGCCGTTCGCAGGCCTGGCGCTCAGACACCAGCCTTAAGCAGAAGTGTTTGTTTTGAAAGTCAGACACCCCAGCCCCAGCTTTCAGATTCTGTTTCAGAGAGGTCCATGGGGTGTGGGGGTGTGTGTTCCAACATCTCTAGTTTAAAAGCAAAGCGTGCCTGGCGACTCTGCCGCAGGAAGGCTAAGACCCTCCCCGTCATCCTCTGTCTCTGCCCCAGACTTTGGCCACAAGGGGCTCCATCGTCCTCTTGTACCTTGTGGGCTGTCATGGACCCAGCCCCCCGAGAGACCTCTTAGGACCACAGACTTTGCAGGACAAAAAAGCGGGTCAAACCACCTCGCCCACAGCTTGAAAACAGGCTGACCAGAGGGTGGACAGAAAGGGATGGGCTGTCTGGTCACTGCCCCTCAGGCTGCCCCAGACCTCGCTGCCAGTCTGTCCCTGTTGGCCCACCTGTCCTTCTACTCCCAAGCCCCCAGGATGGGCACTCACCACGTGGAGACGTGTCCTCACTGCTGCAGGCACACAGCCCAGGGCCGAGGCCTCCAGCCTGCCCGGCGGAAACGTCAGTGGGTCAGAGTCCAGGTGACCTCACCTTCCTTTTCCTCGATTGCCCGGCTGCCTTTGCTGGTGCCTCTGTCCCCAGCTGTGGGCTGAGGTGGGGTCTGGGCACAGCATAGGCTTGGGGTTGTGGAAGCAGGTCCTCGCCTCCACCACTCAGCCCGTGGGTGCAAGTGTCCTGAAGGGAGGAGTGGGGGATGGGAGAAGCCTCAGCACCCTCACCCCCACCCCAACAGCTTCCTGTGGAGCCAACTGCTAAAGAGGAACAGGGCCCTGGGCCTCGCATGGGTACACTGGCAGAGACTCATGGGAACACTAAGTCACGTGTATCCAGAGACAGTTGCTCAGACACACTTATGAGCACTCACTGGTGTGGGTACACCCTTGGTTACATCGGGCACGGAGGCACCTGGGTCCCCTGGTATGCTGATAAATCGTTAATAACCACCTCTCTGACAAAAATAAATAAATAAATAAATAAACAAACAAACAAATAAATAAATAAATAAAAATAAAAAAGAAAGAATAAAACGAAACCCTGGTATTCAGCACCTGCCGCTTCCCATGGTACCGACACGCCCACCACAGCTGGTTCCTCTGCCAGCCTGAGGTCACTGAGTGTGGAGTCAGGAGGAGATGCTCAGCTGGGCTCTCACATGTGCCTGGAGGGGGACTCAGGCACAGGGGTTCATGCACACGGACGCCGGCACACACGTGGCCTGCAGAGGGAGCGGTCTGCCCATAGAGACAGCTGGGTGCACGGCACACACAGCTGGTGCGTGGTGACATGAGGACC